AGTAGACTGCGATTATGGTGATTGGACCAAGCGATGTGCTCACCTCAACTCCGATGGTTTCGATAGTTTTCAGCTGGAAGCTTGGTAGTAGCCGATGTTCCGTCTCGCAGCGATGGCCACTCCCCCTCCTCCAGAGCTGGTGCGGTCCAGCCTTACGAGCCGAAAGTCGGGAAGGAAAACGTTCACCTCTGGTTTCAAGTGAGTCTCGGTGATGACGGCTATGTCGATGTGCCGTTCGTTGAGAAAGTCAACAAACTCGATGTTTTTGCTCTTCAAGGAGCAAGCATTCCTATTTACCCAGACAACCAGAAGTCGTATAATAATGTACAGACAGTATCGTAAATTGCTACAGTTTTAGTCAAAATCGCATATAAGAATGGCATACATCGCATTATGTTTAAGTTAAATCGTATAGAATGCAAATTTCCGACCAATATGCGATGACTCATTTTTCCATCGTACTGTATCACAAATTAAATCGGATTACATCGTAAGACTTTTCAAAATGAATTTGTTATTACAGATTAAATCGTATTTGATGTTAAATCAACTCGTTTAAAATTAAATTAAAATATGCACGTATATGGCCTCCACTTTTGTACGTATAAGCAATTTTTTTGCATTATATACGAATTGATTGTTTGTATATATGTTTGTATATCACGAAAACAACTTTGAATATACGTGCATTCTGGTTGTCTGGGTACGATCTTGATGGTCCATACTTAGTGACAAGGGACAGGGCAGCATGTAACTGTTCAGATCGAGTCTTGCAGGTGCACATAATGATGATGACCTCGGCCACGAGCGACACACGTTCCTCCGAGGTGAACGGAGAATCGTCAACAGGCTCACCTGAGACAGCACCAGCGTATGATAAACCAGGGGGGTGTGGATGAACCTGGAATTGGCTGGGCCGCAGTAAACTATGCTTGGTTTGCATAATCTTTGAATGGACTTGGCTGACATTCCCAAAGTGGTATCTGGGTGCCGAAACGAGTCCGAGTTAGAGCACTAGGAAACTTTGTGCTTTCGTAATGTGGTGTCGTTTCGGAGTACATTGAAAGACACGTCTCGATGGTTGCCGAAAGACTCTTTTTAATTCATAATTCAGAACCTCTTTATACTTTATTAATGATGATTTTTGCAATTTAAAAAATCGATACTCTATGATTAGTTGAACAAGTAAGAAAGAGATTGAAAGAAACGCCTGGGACGGCGGTTACAATATTTAATAATAATAATCGATGATAATAAACGACCTTCGGTACGCAACGTTGTTTAAATATTATGATTCTTTAATCGTCACGGAACGAACGACTGCCAGTAGATAAAAGAGGAAAGTCATCAAAATATACCGTATGCACTTTTGCAATACTATTCGTTCGTAAATAACCTACCTTATCTACTTTATCTGAATTGTTGATTCATCCCGGCTGTTTAGGCAAATGTAATTATAATTTAATATGTTTTACGGTGAGAGATGTTCTAGAAAACTTGGGTATAGAACAGGAGCAGCAGTGAGACGGTTGTTGAGTGGAAGCGGGGCTAGGTTCGGAACATGTCAACGGGGCTGGAGAACTGGGTACTGGACTTCCGTGAGTACAGGAGCCGAACGATGATTACGGAGGCGACCGGGCTGATTGTTGATTGTAGCCTTCCGATGGATATTCATGAACTCCACTCGCCTGGAACATCCGCGATTGGAGGCTTGGTGGTTTCCACCGTACGTTGGCTCGATGTCATTATCTTACTCACAAGACACAGTTGAGTGAGTTCCAGCACATTTGCCGCAGTTTGTCTTCATACGGCAGTTTTTGGTAGGAGATGCAGTTCATAAACTGGTTTGTAATGCTCCCAACTGATGATGACCTGAAACAGGTCTCGGATTTCGGATCTCAGAGCCGCAAGACTGGTGGATCCCCTTGTGACTTGCACCAGGAACAAATGGTCATGGAAGTTGGTGTTGTGGTTGGAACGCCGGCTCATCGGATACACTGCCTCAGGCTTGAACTCAAACCGCTCCAGTTCGGATTTCACCGCAGCTGCCTCGAACGACGGTTATCCACGCAAAACCACCTTCAGTGGCCTGCTCGATGGCAGATCATGCGTGAAGAAATCCACGTTGATGTCCTTCAGGAAACATCCTATTTGTTTGTACTCCTCCAGGCTGGAGCACATGATTTTGGTACCAATGCTGCAAAGCTTGAAGCGAGACAGCAGCTTGTGTTTGCCAGTTCGGCACCCAGCTTGGCAACATCCTTCACCACGCCGGAGAATCCGCTCTCTTCTAGCAAGGGGAAAGGCGACACCATCGTCATTTTATTCCGGGAGTACTGCATACCCGTTGGCTTGCAGTACCCGTTTTCCGGCGTTATCCAGCGACGCTCTGGGCTTGATTAGCACCTTCTTAGAAGGGCCCTCTGCTGTCTCTTTTTTCGTGTTTTCAAGTTCAAGTAAACTTTCCAGAACGTGAGAAAGTGGCGGCACTTCCACGGCGCAACGCGATAGCACAAAACGAAACTAAATCGAAACGGGAACTCGAGCAAAAATACGGACTGAACAGCTCAACAGTCGAGCAAAGAATGATGAGCAGAGGCATGACCATGGTTACCAAAAGCAAATCTGTATTTTTGCTTATAAAAATCTTTTCATCTGCATTTTTTTCTTCCAAAAATCTGTATCAATATCTGTGTAGTTTTAATATTGGGTATAAGAGATGAACCAGCCTCTGGCTGAAAATCTCGCTAATAAAGATAACCCAACCCAACTTAGTTTTGCGTTTTTCGTATCAAAATGAACAAAGAAGTGTTGGAAGTGCGATAACGGTCATAAAAGTGCGCTTTTGCATCAAATCGTGTTACTACGTTTTGCGCCGAATACATTAATAGCGGTAAGCTTCAACTCGGAAAAAAAGTTCAAGTGCAGTCAATTTTACTACGTTTCCCTTACTTAAGCAATTAGATTAGCATTCTATGCCCCTTCTTTTTCTGTATTTTGCTGATGTAAGTGAATGAATAGAAAAAGCAAAGATCGTCTCTATTCTTTCGATAGTCATAGCGTTTGGCTGAACTCTTTGATCATTTTTCAAAAGTTAATCATTGATAAACAACTATCTAAGTTATACCAAACAAATCTTATTATCAGCGGCGCCGGTGGTGTAGTGGTAAGCGTGATTAACTCTCGCCCCAGCAGGCCTGGGTTCTATCCCAGACGGCGCTGCCGGGATGTTCTGAGGCATAACATCTCTGATCACGCCTACCTTCGGAAGGGAAGTAAAGCCGTTGGTCCCCGGTTCATGAGTTGATGAGTCGATAGGTAGGGTCCAGGTGTGGGAGCTGCCTCCCTGGCGTCGGTAGCATTGGTGCGCAGCACGGAAAACAAGATCGACGGAAAACAAATCAAAGGAAAAAAAAAATCTTATTATTAATCTGAATAAAATTTTGTAATTAAAATAGAATTTATTTCGTTCAAAACTTGACGCTTTTAGGAAAACTTTTTTTTTCTATTCAGGCTAATCTAAATTCCTAAGTAAGGGAAGAAAGTTTGACTGCATTCATCGTTTGACTGCCGAGTAATTAACAGGGGCAGTTTTGCTTCAACTCACTTGCTATAAAAAATGTTTTTTTTTTTAATCATTAGATGAAATAATGATGTGTTTTACATATAACTACAAGAGGGTGTACAATAAAATTGACAAGTTTTATGTGTCAAACACATACTTTACACACTCTTCTTGTTACTTACAAGTACTGATTATTATTATAACATCTAATGTTTTCATAAATCAGAAAAAAAAAAAACAATTGTTAATATCAAGTGAGTGGAAGTAACCCTGAACAGGGGTGTTCGTTTTGTTGTACACTGAAAACGAAACTTATTCAGAGTGATTGCCCAAGTAAAGGAAATAACAACCTGCTATCATCTTGAAAACAAGTCTTGGTATTCCAGATATCATTTTGTTTTGAGTTGTTATCCCATTACTTATTCAACCTCGACTGATATCATGAAAGAATATAAAATGATGCAAGGTTCAAAACTTCAAATATTATCCACATGATGAGAAAAAAAAAAAACACTGCCAATCATATTTCTGTTATCAGCGTAAGGCTTTAATACCAAATCAATAAAATAATTTGGAATTTTGTTGAAAAAATTTGCATGGATCACAGGATTTGTTATCAAGTTGTTTTCAATGATAACCAAATCAGTTATTCTTGTGATATCCCAGAGGTATTATTTTGTTATAATTTTTGTTATGTTGGCTGTTTATTCAACCACAAAGATAACATGTTCAGTTATCAAATCTTGATAACCGGGTATCAGAACTTGTTATCAATTTGGTATAATCCTTTGCTCGGGATAACTTTTACTCATTTTGTGAATTTCGTAGTCCTTCGTAAAAAATGCGGTCGTGACTTGTACACCACCCTCCAACTTTTTAGTAGATGGCTACCCTGAATTAGAACGTGTCCTGTTTTTGTTTGAATTATACTTTTTTCAATTAATTAAGACAACCATATAACAGACGAATCATTGACACATTAAATAAATTAATAAATAAAAAACAAAAGTTGGTTATTACACTAAGACGAGAAGCATCGATATGGAATGTTTAGACATCTTAATCATAAATTCAGGGCGATTTATGGTGCTTCCAGTTGGGTTTTGTGGCTCCTGATGGGACAAATTACAAATAATGCTTTGTGAAGCACCCTACTTGATTTTGAGAAAATTGTTTTATACGAGAGGTGCAAAGGAATGTAAGAACATACATTTCAGGTACCTACTTTTTGCTTGGCTTAGATGTTAAGTTACAAATTGGCATGTACTATAAGAAGTTACATAACACATCCCATCCCATCTTATTTCAGGATCCAGGCATTTTAAGATGACATTAGATTTAAAACCGATGACTCAACTTATACAACGTCTCGTAATACTCGCGAAACATTACTCTGTAGAACCTAATCACTCTTTCCTTTTCTTTTCTTCCTCAGGCTGAAATAGCTATAAATGTTCATTTAGATACACTTAAGCGAGTAGAAATTTTTCAAAATACCGAGGCGGGCTTTCTGTGCGAGCTAGTGTTAAAGCTAAGGCCGGTGCTGTTCTCTCCGGGCGATTTCATCTGTCGAAAAGGTAAGCAGGTGCTTCTGTAGGTATACTTTCTCCAACCGTGTCGCTGGATTCCGCCAGGAGTTTTGATTCTCAAAATCCTAACGCAATTACCATTTCGGCTCGTTACCCAGCAGACTGGCACCGGTTTCCACGATAAACCGTACGTGACGTGCCAGCACACTAACCCGAACCATGTATTTCCCTCCTCGTTTCCACGTCGTTTCAGGTGAAGTCGGCAAAGAGATGTACATAGTCAATAGAGGTAGACTGCAGGTTGTCGCAGACAACGGAAAAACTGTTATGGCTTCGCTGAAAGCCGGCTCCTACTTTGGCGAGATCAGTATCCTCAACATGGGTACGGCAGGTAAAGCGCTCGGTAAATATGATAGCCAAGCAAAATACTGTTGGTATTGACGTGTTGTATCTGTTTTTCTCCAAAACAATAAAAAATCACCACGATCCACGTTCACTACAAGAAATTGAAAAAAAAATTGCTCGAATCAGTAAATTCACGCGAATCGTTCGGATAGGAAAAAAAAAACTCAAAACAACAGCCAAATATCGCGGCCTATTCAAAATTCGAACTGCACTCACAAATCTAAAAGCAAGAAACACGAGCTCTAGAGTCCATTAGACGGAAGACACATACTTTTTCTCCCACTTGCAACCGTCCAACCATCGCGGACGTTTTCCACTCAATATTGCACCAAAAAAGCACCCATCACCCACTTACCGAAAAAAAAACAAACAAATCCGACTAGTACAGAGTTCAACTCGAAACGCGTAGACTTCAATCAACCGGCAAGCTCTGTACGAAAATCTCACCAGAGACCACCGGATGCGAACCGACTCTGCACAACTGACACGACTCGAAGAAGTAGCAGAAGTCTCTTTTTCGCGATGTGAGCTGCATAGATAATCGCATGAAATATCCACCCAATCGCGCTATTAACAGAGTACTGCTGCTGCTGCTGCTGCTACTGCGACATCGACAGACTGTGTCTCTGTCCGAGTGAGCCAACTGAAAGACGACACCGTGCGACGAGGTTTTCCGTTTTTCTTTTTTTCTTTTTCGGGTGAAAACTTTGCCACCAACATATCGACTGTGTTCTGGAACGAACGCGTGTCATGTCGCACATGTTGCCCTCGTTGTTGATCCGGTTGTTGGGGGGGGGTTTCGCCTTCCAAGGGTTGTAGCTCGGTGGTTAAATATTGAGATAGCACGATTTTTCATTCAATTCCCGTGATGCATGGTTCACAATTTTCTGGGAAATATCCTTGTCACACGATCGACGCTTTTGGTGTCAAAGGTTTCGAAAATCAAATCTATGTTATGCTATAGATCTTTTCAATGTTCAAGTAATCAAACCATCAAATGACCATTGCATATAGGCAACATTGGACGCTTGTGTCCGTTTAGAAGTGGGAAAGCTTCCAATCATCTAAGGTTTTACTTAAAGTACACCGGGACAAGTGAGAACCTGAGATAAGTGGGAACATCCAGTAGAAATTTCTGAATTTTGAAGAGAGAGTGCGATGTAACAATATCATGAAATTTTCGGAAGAACAATCCAAACATGTGTTTAAAAGGTAAATAATAAAACAGTACCATCTTCAATATTATCTTAATAGTTTTCATCTAAAAGTTCTTTAAAAAATTTCAAATCATGGAACAACAACTTTTTGTGAAATTTAAGTTTTTACTATTTTCTCTTAAATCTTTATGCAAAATCAATTTTTTAGACTTTCAAAAACGTTTTATGTGAAAACATAAAAAAAAAATCCAAAATAAATTATCAAAAAATGTTGTTCCATGTTTTTTATGTTAATTTTTAAATGTGCAACTTGAAATATGCAAAGAAGATAACATTTTTGATAAGCTTTTTAATAAAAAGTAAATGAAATATAATTTAATATATTATTACGGTCATTTTTTGTTATTTAACCTTTAAACACTTTTTTGAATTTTTTACCCTGAATTCCATGAACTTGTTAACGGTGTATATTTTTCCTGAGAAGGGAATTTAATTTTATTACATCTTTGTCTTTCGATTGGAAGTGGACGTTTTTGAGATATGTTGAAAAATATCAATTACGCCATTTTGATGAATTTTGCGAGTGTCCGAATATTAATGATTATCCACAAAAAAAAAACAATTCAAGAGCCTTTACTGACTAGGCTTTTATGCCCCCTTGTAAACAAACCATCTAATGCCCTTTTCTCGCCACCCATATGACACTAACGCAAACCATCAACATCAGCAGGTAGGGGAATCTTTCCCCTTACCGATGATGTTGTTGGCGACCCTCGGTTGGCGAGAAAAGGGTCTACAAAAGTTAGTTTACAAAAAGCTTGTATGCCCTTTTCACATGTCGTTCTTGAATTATTCACTCCAGTTTCATGCAAATCACAAAAGGTCGCATCAGATCAATCCGCCATTTGACGTGTAACTGCTCTTATTTCAAAGTTGAGCAAAAAAAATAAATAACTTATACTAGGGGAAATGACGGCTTCGGCATGACAGACTATTTTCGGCAACCCAAATTGAAACACTATTTTCACTGGATTTGCTTACGAAAACACTTCGCTGAATGCATGCAAACGATTCTTTATGCTTTCAGCTTCAATTTGACTATATTTTTACCACTGAGAAAAAGCAATCTAGCAGGGTTTTCTTGAAATGAAACACACGCACTACAAATTGTAGCTGATTTCGAGTTGCCGATAATAGAATAGCAGATTTACATGCAGTTCAAATGGAACGATTGCCGAAGAAAAACTAGTTGCCGACAATACTCGCTCTCACTAGAGAAGATTGGAGCTTTGTAAAAGCGTTTCAAAACAGTTTTTGACAATTCTTTCGACTGAAATTGTTAGAGCAGCTGGCAGCAAAAGATTGTAAACAAACCAATACTGCATATGTGTGCGTTCCATAGAGAAAAAGGCTATAGAAAGAAGGTCGCTGCTTAGGTTGCCGAGAATACGTAAATTCCCCTATATATTTTTGCATCAAAAACTTCTTGAAAGCGTCTTCTGTAATGAAAACCCATATTGATAAATAGGCGAATAGAACCTTTGTTACACAGCAAAATTTCGTTTTTGATATTAGCCCTACATATACGAGGCCTTAATGGATATTTTTATTTTTACCGAGTTACTTAGCCTGGTTAGTAAGATAAGCAACCTGAATTTTTCAATCCAATTCGTGATATTAAAGTTCTGATAGCGATTGTAAGAATGAGGACCAAAATTTTAAGTACCTGTTACACATATTAGTTTATTGATAAAAAAATTAGGAGATATATTGTCAACAATATTGATGACTTAAATTGAAACTGTCATTATTATTGCCAATCTCCAAATATTGAAGAAATTGAAATTGAATAAGATTATTGTGAACATTGATATGTATTATTTCCGCTTAATACCCTGTTCTCATTACGCTCTATATCAAGTGATATAGAGTGATTCGTGATATAGCAGCTATATCATGTTCTATATTACGTGATATCCCATACAAACAATCTGTCAATCTATATCATGAATAGTTCTTGATATAGCTCATATCATGTTGTGTACTTGATAAAATTCTGAAAAGCAGTGTCTGGCAACCAGGCCACGATACAGCTGGTCGTTATTTTTTGGCTTCACATGTCACTTTTCCGTCGAGTCAATCAAAACATTTAAAAAAGCCGAACTGGCAGTTTCAAGCAACCATTCTCAATCTCCTGACCCACCTACCCGAGACGAAGGTCATCCGCAATCAATACCATCGGATTGGCAGCATTCAACTGTCAACTAATGGAAGGTTTCACGGTGGTGAATCAAAGATTTTCTTCGGTACCCTGTAACAGTAGGGTAGATGGCAAGGCGGAAATAGCAGAAAACAGCGGATATATTCACTAAACCATAGTTATTTTAGTTTTATACAACCATCAAAAAAATAGTGCGATCCGAGGCTAATCTACGGGAGTTCTCAATTTCGGTTGTACCTGTTTATATGTGTTCAGTTTCAACACCGACCGCTCTGCTCGTAGCGGCGCTACCATCACTTATCGGTTACAACCCAAAGAACGGACGCCGTTTTGTGTCGGCTGCCCAGGTACCGTAGGAGGAAATCAAGAAGCTCTCTCGATGGGAAGTCATCAACAACAAGGCTAAAGTCGGTGAATAAGAGATTTCTCGCAGGCGTGATCCAACTGTAAACAATGCTGCTGAGAGCTGCACATGACACTCAGACGTTCAATGATACTAAAATGATCTGCATTTAAAGAATGTCCATGTGGGCTTTCTTTACCTTGCTCTGGCTGTCCTGTGTAGCAAGCAAAATCGACGCAATGTCCTGATCCAGGAAGCCATCGCTTTGAAAGTGAAAATGCAGCGTTTAACAGCTTTCCATTTGTATGATATGAAACTGGTCATGCTGCAGCAAATATTACCACACTCATTGGTCAAAAGTATCCGGATCTCCTCGGTACTGGCTTCGTACGCTCCGAAAGCTTCCACCCCATACCACCGTCAGGATAGGTTTCTACAGCAAACTCAAATCCTTGATGCTGCACATGTAAACAATAACAAAGTTGTTCTTTTTTCTCACTGTCATAAATGACAAACTATATCAAGTCACCGCAATGTGAACATCTCAACTTGATATCGATATCATCTCGTTATATCACGTGATATAGAGCGTAATGAGAACGAGGTATTAGATGTATAGTCCAAGGTAGAGTCGGTGTATAATGAGTCACGCCAAGAGTGAAGCCAAGTCTACCTATTGAACTGTCAAACCGGCTACCTATCGTGCAAAGTAAATAAACATTACGATGCTATGAAAGGTCCACGAAAGGTATTGCAATAAAATATAAAATGTAATCGAAGAAATGATCATGAACACGCAGTGAGTATTAAATTGTCATGGGATACGTTTGGTAACGATCAGTAATGAGAATTTCTACTATTTTTTGTTTAGATGATTGGACTAAATCACTGATATAATGATTTAAAACAACCACAACCACCGACTCTAGTCCAAGGTTATGCGAATTGCTCAACTTGCGGGCAACAATAGCGCAGGATGCACTCTTTTTCTAAACAATCCAAATTTTAGTATGATCTACATATCCGCCAAAATTGAGTAAACAAAATTGGAACTGACAAAATGAAGAATGAACAAGATCGAACTGAATCCGAATGTTATTTTGTTATCATGTCAGTTACAACCTTGTTTGATCAATATTGGGTAGCCCTGATAATGGAAATGAGTAGATCTTACCTAAATTTGGATTGTTTAGAAATAACGTGTGCATAAAAATGGAAAAACTCGCTCTACACGGCCAAAGAGATCAATCCAAATTTGAGTTTCG